AGAATCTATAAATCAAAGAGTGTACAGCTGGCACTCTATGACAGAACAGTAAACAGTTATTTAACTATATATGCTCTAATGTGTTTCTGAAAAAGTTGGAATCTGTTTTTGTAAAATTCAACAATTTATAACAAGAGGCTTATTCAAAAGTTGATAGTAGAAAGGGGACCTTAATTAAATCCTTTTTGTATTTGCTGTTATGACAGTTAACATATTAAGATTTTTCCAACAATTTATTAACAACATCAAGCAGCAGCTGGTTCTGATGTTGCATTTGCCCTTGCTGCTGCTGAAACATTGCCATCATTTCTGTGTCTCTCTTTACCCTTGCCTCATAATTTTTCTCCTTAATCTCTAGCTCCCGATGCTTAATTTCCCACTCTCTCTCCATTTCCCTCTCTTTTATCTTAATTTCCTTTTCTTTAATCTCAATCTCTCTTCTTCTTAATTCAAACTCTTCTCTTTTTAGTTCAGCCTCTCTCTCAGTCTTTTCTCTCATGTAATGCATCACCTCTGTGTCCTTGTCCCAAACAGTCTTTTTTATTTTCTTTCCTCCTTCCTGACTCTCCCTCTCTCTTGTCTCTGCCAATCTTTTCATGGATCGCTTTCTAATAGATTCAGCAGTTTCCTTCTCCTTTTCATCAACTTTCCCCCCAACCCTTAACATTACAGCCTGTGCCTCAGTCCCCCTTTCAATTATATCTTGGATTGCTTGCTCTAATTCAGTGGGTTCTGGTGGACTGATACCACTAGCACGCTCTTCCTCTGCCATCTTTCTCTTGAAGCTCCTCTCCAACTTCAAAAAACGGTCTCGGACTGCTCTTTGGTCTACCATAAAATGTGGTTGGCCAATTCTATTTAAATTATTGGCCACGTTATCCCAACTGTGACCACGCTCCCGAGTACCCATTTTGAATAGATAAGGCTCCTCGACAAGGATCTCTCTACAGAGCAGTGTGTCATGCTCAAGGGTCCATGTCATTTTTGGCCTAATTAATAGAACATTGAAATAGGAAAAAACTCAATAAAGACACATATTTGACCCAAATCAAGAAAACTGTTATAGAAAACATTCAAAGCAATATACACTGAAATCTTAACAAGCAATCTGTACAATCATATTAGATAAATTTAAAAACTATAGCAGTGTTATAGAATTTTATCATAACAAATTAATTCTGCTTAAGCCAAAATACTTTTACAGTTCAATCTTATACCGAGTTTTACTTGTAATTCTCATAATGTATAGTCTCACTACAACAAAGATCTTGGGGTTGGCTAAAAGGGTAAGACAAAAAATCAATGCTGAAAACACAAGCCCTAACCTTCTGGATTCAGGTTTCTGGATCCTAACAGGTGGGGTGTTTTAATTCTTTGTAGCCATTTTTAATTTGGCATTGCACAAAAAGATAAGAAATTTTGAATATAAATTAACACCTTCTACCGTTAAAAATATGAAATAAGGCTAACAAAAATCAACACACGTTCCCAACAGCTTGTATTACACATAATATTCATTTGGTGCTGGCCTATTGACCTAGAAGTGAGTTTAACGTTCGCTTTAAAATATGGCACAAATTAATGGTGTTATACAGTTGGGACGATAAATATACTACAATGTTCACCAACTTTTGGTTCTTTGTCTCTTTGAGCCCCTGATCAGCCATTCTGCACTTCGTATATGAGCCTATAAAAGGTGGAAGATTGTTCAAAATCTGACAAAAATAGATCACTCAGATTGGAAAAAGAATGAAATCTTCAAATTTAACAAAATCGATGAGTCTTAATCATATACTTACGATGAAAATGTCCACGTTTTCCTCACAACGTAAAATTCCAAAATCTGAGTTGCGAAATTGGCCTCCACGCGCTGGATTGGAAACTCATGAGAAGACCGCGCTAGTTCCTAGACTCCTCCAGCTCGTCTGGACCTGTCGCGTCGTGTTTCGTAAACTCTCTATTGGCATGGCAGCAACTGGGCTCTACAAAGCCTTGAATTGCATCTTGCAAACATCAACCTTTGTGTCAAGACTTGTCATTCAACCTTGCGAGTTTAATTTATTCCTCAATACAGAGAGAAGACCGGCATTCGAAACGATAGCTGTTGTAAGGTGCTTGCCGTCCTGAATACTTTTTGTTTGCTTGAAAACAATGCTTAATTAATATCGTAAAGTTTTATTAGGAAAGTACGCTGTTTCGCACCATACCTAGAAGTGACACGTAGCGAAGAATTTGAATGTCCATGTGAGAATTCTTAGGCTGTGGCAGTGTTGTCAGATTGAAAATTGATGCACGAAGGCGCCGCGCGGATGACGTCATCAAGGAAACTCTATCCTAGAAGTATTGCTTATTATTCTATAAGATTTTTATTTCACTATCAACTCTTTACCTAGAGTAGTACAATATAGAGAACAATAAAGGTGCCACTGTGTTCCTGTTTTGAGCTTGAAGAAGTCGCAAAAATTCGTCACGTTTTCTTGGGAAGCCAGTGACGATAGGATATTCTGCATGCTATTAGTCTCTCTAACCCTCTCGATAACCCTTGCACTTAGCTTATTATAAAACTTTTGGGACTCAGATAAGCTCGACTGAAATCACTAGTAAAAGACTGTGCATTATTTCAGTGGCATGGTGGCCTGAGGGCCGGGGGGGCACGTGCTCGACCAATGACCAGGAATCAAAGGCACCACAGACGAGCCAACTCTGCAAAGATCACTGCACATATTCCCCCTCCGAAGGGCATACCGTAAAAACCAGACCCTAAGACCCTGAGACCTAGGACCCTAAAGTACTAAAATAAAAAAGGACCCTTAAAACCACAAGGGTCTTCACCCCGATAAGACAATAGTTGATCAAGGTTGACTGTCATCATCGCACCATGAGGACACATAAACTGTCAAATGCGCTTTTGCTCCTACTACGGCGTTCTTCCGCACATTATTCACATCACATCACCTGCTGTCTCCAAATGAGTCTGTCATGGAGTCAGACAGCGACAAGGAAGTTTACGGCAGCCTTTTGGGCTTCTTCTAGTTTTCTTTTCTTTTGTTCCCTTTTAGAGTGGTTGCCACAGAACTGTCGATATTTTCCTGCAAACTTTGCACAAATCTTTATATTAAAAAATATGTATCCTGAAAACCTCTGCCATTGGATTTTAGAAAAATAATTAACAAATAATTCATTGAATTTATTTTTATGCAGGAATTTTTGAAGCTGACCTCTGTTAGTAGATATCAGTTCCAGAATCATTTCGTCTATTTTTTCTAATTTCGCGTCTATTTTCAATGGCATCTAGTTTTTTTTCTTACTGATTTCCTGAAAGTTCAGCCAAAAAAATAAGCTTTAAAATTTGCTTTAAGACATTTGTCGATTAAAAACATTTTCTTGTGTATAAGAAACCAAATTGTCTTATTAAAAAGTTTCAAGTTTCTTATAGTATGCGGCTACATACAGTTTGCTCTTAGATATGCCAAAATTTAAAATTTCTCACCAAACCAAATTTACAATAGCGCTTTTATAGAAAACTTCTGTTTACACCCCCCACGATTTGCCAATAATGCTATTTTTTCAGAATAGGGAGAGCAGAATCCAAAAAAATCACGCAAAAGCGACAAGCAGCAACCAAAGGAAGTGCAAAGAAAGTGCCTGCATCTTCATCTCTGAAACAGGCCTTGATCTTGATCTGTGTCTCTTCTTTATAATTGACTCCAAGAGGTTAAACTACTTTGAAAGATCTTCAAATTCCCTGTCACTTTCTGACTTTTTGAAGTCAGCAGCTGATGTGGATAATATGCGGAAGAACGCCGTAGTTGGCACAAAAGCGCATTTGACAGTTGATATGTCCTCTTGGTGCGATGATGACAGTCAACTGCGACTATTGTCTTATCGAAGTGAGGACCCTTCTGGTGTTAAGGGTCCTTTTTGATGTTAGTACTTAAGGGTCCTGGGTCTTAGGGTCTTAGGGTCTGGTTTTTACGGTATGCCCCTCCGAAGAGGCGCATATTTCGATACAGTGAAGTCTCTCTCTCTCGGCTCTTTCCTTCTTCCTCCGCACTCCCACGCAACTCCACCTTCTCCGCAATCAACATAGGTAGCCCACTGTTTAGCTATCAACGTAAGTAGCCCACTGATTTTCTTGACCTCTATGGGGTTGGATATGAAACATAAATATTCTGGAAAATTTAAACGATAACAATGAAATATAATACCTCAAATTTACAAAGATCCTTAGTCTTGTGTTTTCAGTGGAAGAGTTCTCATGCTGATATTCTTATCTTCATGTTTTATTGTTAAATGTGTTCCTGAAATTGGAATACAGTCGTCGTGTCGCGGTTTTGTCAAATGCAAGACAATAAAACTACGGGGCGTAATGATAATTTTCTAGAGTCCTTCTTGGGCCTTAATCTACTTGCGTGGTAGACATTTTTGATGTAGTTTTAGGCCAAGTAAGAACCATGGTGTCGGGACTTACCAACCCTGTTAGATGTTTTTGAGAGTAAAAAGTAAGAACCATGGTTGAGAGATTGTGGATGCATCCAATTGATTTTGATAGAAAACAATTTCTTTAGGTCTAGGATTTGGACGCAAGCAAGGGGTTTT